ATCATGGCCTACGACTACCACGGCAAATGGGACGGTCGTACGGGCCACAACGCGCCCTTGTACTCGAGGGAGGACGAGCCGGAGGAGGAGAAGATGCTGAATGTGGTAGGCCTGTGGAGATTTTTTTTATGATATATATATATTATATTTTTTTTGTGATAATTATTTTGTTTCGTTTTTTTTCGTTTTTTGATTTCTTTTATTTTTATTATTATTACTTTTTTTTTTGCGGGATGTGTGTGGGATATTTTCCGATTAAAAAAAAAAAAATTGTGACAGGTGGGTTATGAGATACTGAAATATTTCCCCCTTTTTTTTTTTTTTTTTCTTTAAGAACTTGTCTGATAATCCATCAAATAGGCCTATATATATATATTTTTTTTTTTTTTTTCTGAAAGAGAATATTAAAGCAAATAAAAAAACATCTTAAAGAGAATATTAGACAAAATGAAACCAACCAAAACACTCACCCCCCCTTTTTTCCTCTCTCCCTCTCCTCCTCGAAGGCCTCCACCCTCAAGGTCTACCTCGACGAAGGAGCACCTCCCGAGAAGCTGGTCCTCGGCGTGGGATTCTACGGCAGGACCTTCAACCTTCAGGATCCCCAGGACAACGGCATAGCGGCGCCCACCCTCACCACCGCCCTCGCCGGCCCCTACACCAAGGAAGAGGGATTTATGGGATATAACGAGGTAAGGGGGTCGTCCCTTTTTTTGGGGGGGTGAGGGGGAGGAGGGGGTTGTTGTTTTTTTTGTTTTTTGTTTTTTTCATCTCAGTCTATCCTCCTCGCCTCCTCTTTTTGAAAGATAATATCTCTACCAGTTCAGTCAAAATATAATTGTCTTTAGTACCTTCCTCCCTTCTTTCAATAATAATAATAATAATAATAATAATGATAATAATAATAATAATAGTAATAGTAATAATAATAATAATAATAATGATGATGATAATAATAATAATAATGATAATAATAGAAGGGACAAAAGAAACAAAAAATATATATATACAAGTTCCACGTCTATAACTCACTTACCCTGAAAATTCTATTCAATTCTTCCCTTTTGTTTTGTACTTTTTGCTTCGCCCGAATTCTATTTCTGGCTTCCTTGTCTCTTCCCTCGGCCCTTACCCCTTTCCCCTAATCTTATCTGTCTCTAATTTTATCTCTAATTCCTCTCCCTCTTTCCCCCTTTTTCCCCCACTCGTCTTACTTTTCATTTCCTACCTCTTTCTCTTTCTCTCTCTATCTCCCTCTTTCATTCCTCTCCCCTTTCTCCCTCTTTCCATTTTTCATCTAACTTCTCTCCATCCTTTCTCTATTCCCTTCATCGTCCTTTTCCTTTCCCTTCACCATTTCCCTTTCCTTCCTTTTTCCCTTCCCTTCTAACTCCTTCTCCTCCACCCCTTTCCCCCCTCCCCCTTTCCCCCCACCACTTCCCTTTCTCCCTTCCCCTCTAATCCCCTCTCCTCCACCCCTTTCCCCAACCCCTCCAAAACCAAACCACTCTAACCCCCCTCGACCTTTCCCCCCACCACTTCCCCTTTCCCCACCCTCCAAAACTCCCCTTTCCCCACCCTCCTCCCCCCTCCCCCCATCCCCCCTTTTCCCCTCTACCCCCCATCCCACCCAAAAAAAACAACAACAACAACAACAACAACACTCTGACTTCTCTCCCCCCCCCTCCCCCCCTCCACCCATCAAAAAAAAAAAAAAAATCACTCTCTAACCCTTCTCTCCGTCCCTCCTCCCTCTCACACCCACCCACCCCCCCTCCACCCCCACCCACAGATCTGCGAGAAACAGACCACGGAGAAGGGCCTCTGGACGCTCGTGTGGCAGAAAACCCACCAGGTGCCATATATGATCCGCGACAACATGTGGATTGGCTTCGACGACCCGATTTCCATCAGCCTCAAGGTCGCCTACGCCCAGAAGCTCGGTTTGGGCGGCGTCATGGCCTGGGCGATCGACACGGATGACTTCAAGGGCGTCTGTTCGGATAACAGGATGAAGTGAGTGGAAGGGGATGATGGTGATGGTGGTGGGAGGTGATGGTGGTGAGAGGTGGTGATGATGATGGGGTGATGAGGGTTTAGGATGGTGATGGTGGTGATGGTGATGAGATGATGATGGTGATAGGGAGGATGATAGTAAGAGTAATGGTGATGATGATAATAGTAGTAGCAGATAGTGATGATGATGGCGATTTGTGGATCAGGAGGATTAAGGATGGTGATGATGATGATGGTGACGGTGATGATGAGAGGTGATGGTGTGATGAGGGTTAGGGATGGTGATGATGATGGTGGTGATGGGGATGATGATAGTAAGAGTAATGGTGATAATGGTGAAAATGATAATAGTAGTAGCAGTAGTGATATGAATATTAATATCAGTAATAATAATGATAATGATATGGTAATAGTAATAATAATGATAATGATAAAAAAAATAATAGTAATAGTAGTTGTAGTAGTAGTAGTAGAAGTAATAAAAAGATAATGGTAAAATCATAATGATAAAAATAATCATAATAATAATGCTAATGATAATAATAATAATAATAATAATGATAATAATAATAATAATAAACATTAACGGCAATAATGATAACGATGATAATGATGATGATGATGATAATGATAATGATAATGACAATGAAAATGAAAATGAAAATGAAAATGATAAAGATGATAATAACGATAAAAAACAAAATGATAACCATGGAGCAAAAAAAAACAACAACAAACATACAAATAATTATATAAACCAAATAAATAAAACAAAACAAAACAAAACGAAAAACAAAATAAATAAACAATTTTTTTTTTTTTCCCTCAGGTACCCCCTCCTCCGAGCCATCAACAAGGCCCTCACAGCGAACATGGAGAACAGGCCTAGCAAGACATCTAGGCCTATCAAACCCAGTCTGGATGACGATGACTTTGATGACAAGTTTGATGACACCAACACCTTGGACAGCCGGGAACATGACTCTGGAAGGTGAGGAAGAGAGGTGGGGAGGGAAGGAGGGGAGGGGAGGGAAAGGAGGGAGGTGGGGAGGAGGGGAGGGAGGGGAGGGGAGGAGGGGAGGGAGGGGAGGAAATGAGGAGGGAAGGAGGAGGAGGGGAGGAAATGAGGAGGGAAGGAGGGAAGGAGAGGGAAGGAGGCAAGGGAAGGAAAGGAGGGGAGGGGAGGGGAGGGGAGGAGGAGGAGGTGAGGAAATGAGGAGGGAAAGAGGAGAGAGATGGGGAAAAGAGGAAGAGTAGGCAAGGGAGGGAGGAGAAGGAGGGAAGGAGAGAGGTGGGGAAGAGAGGAGAAGGAAGAGAGGGAGGAGGGAAAAAGGGCAGGGAGAAGAGGAGGAGATGTAGTAAACAGATAATTCAGTTACAGTTAATAATGCTTAAAAAGTCTTTCAATATTAGAAATAGAATTCAGCCCATACGGTTAACAGTTATTTTTCGGTAGAATTAAGGACACGCACAATCGTCCTCTCGAAGCTAATCCAGTGACAACATAAAAAAGAACTTTATCATAAAAAGGAAGCAGTCACAGTCAGAAATAAATTTGGGTCATAATGTTTCGAATTCGCCAAGAGGTCCATATCAGACAAACAGACAAAAAAGAGGGGAAAAAAATATATATATATTGGTTATTTCTTCCTTCGAATAGGAAATCTAGACGAGTTCGAAACGTTGCAATTCAATTTCGTTTCTTAAGGGTGTCTGTTTCCCTTTTTTAATTATTGTCTACACGATTTACTGTGTTTGTGTTTGTCTAATTAAATCAATAATTTCAACAGTTATTTTTCGGTAGCACTAAGAGGGACATAGCAATCATCCTATCGAAGCTATTGTTTGTTTTTTGTTTTGTTTTTGTGTGTTTGTTAAGGTATTGTTTGCGTTTTTTAATTTTTGTTTTTGTGTGTGTGTGTTTGTTAAGCTATTGTATTTTTTTTTTGTTTTTTTGTTTTGTTTTATGTGTGTGTTTGTTAAGCTATTGTTCGTGTTTTATCCATTTAGACAAGAATGCGATAGATTTTGAAAACGACGTAACCAATTGTGACAACTAACGTTCAAACCCCCATTGCAGACCATCCCGTGTCGGAGGCCGCGGAGGTTCTTCTGTTGCAACACCTGCAGCTACTGTTGTGTTGGCACTCCTGCTCACTTCTTTGGCTGCTCGCTAAAGAGGTCTGCGGTTGGCACTCCTGCTTCTATAACGTCCCTTTCGCAACGTCCCAAAGGCCTTCCGAAAATTCACTTTCTCAGAGTTTTTCGAGATTTTTTTCCTTTTCCTTTTTTTCCAGCTATTTCGGTCCTTAGAGAATTATTGAGATTCTTTTCTCTTTCCGTTGATGGACAGGCACGTTCGGTTTCAAATTCCTTATGTGTTCTTCATTTTCTCTTTCTTTTTTTTAAACTTGAGAAAAAAAAATTAGATAATAGCATTTAGTAAATTCTTCCATTTTATGCCATGCTTTTCAAATCTCACTGGAGTTGCCAGCTACACTTTGTATATTCTTATTTGGTGCACTAAACCTTAAGGTATGAATGCATTCTATAATATTACAACTTTTTTTCAACTATAATAGAACTATTAGTTTAACTGTGATTTTAGAGTTTATGACGTACTGTAATTAGATTAAATATCCAGTCATATCTGTACGGTGATTGGCCGATATCTTAACGGCAAAAATTACGGAGGAACCAATCAGAGAGGAGAGAGAGTCAGCTGATGTTTCCTATTGGCTGATTTTAATGTTAGGGGGCGGAGCCAAGAAAACTAAACTAAAAAAAAAAAAAAAAAATATCCTGTATAGTTTTTCTTGGGCGAAAATGACAGATTTTTTTTTTTAAGCAAAATACATGGCAAATTTATATTTTTGGTTGTCGGTGGAAGCAAAATCGATTCAAATTTGATTGGATTTTCTTATGATAAGAGGTTAGATTTTTTCACTGGACTGTAAATATAAATAAAATTATAATATTACTCA